TGCAGACATCCAGGTCCCATAAAAAAACACAGAAGAAAATAGCAACAATACAATCCAGCTTCTCTTATTCATAGACCAAAGTAAATGTTTTGGGTTGTTTTTTTTGTTGTTGTTGTTTTTTTTCCTCAGTCCTCACACTCTCAAGCATAGACCTTCAAAATTCCTTTGATTTCTGATGAAATTAATTGCTACTCCCTCTGCACTTAGCTTCTCTTGAATCTCCCAGGTCTTTTTCCATGTGAAATCCATGCACTGTTCTCCTGTCAGACTCCCTATGCACTTCTGACTGGCAAGCCTTCTATCTGTTCATTCTTATTCCTCTCAGCATCCTGACAAACAACTTTTTCTCTTACCATGCCACAGTCTTTTACATTTGCCATTCCTCTTATCTCTGCAACTCCATCTTTCCCAGCACCATTTCTTCATAAAGCTGTAGATAAGAGATCTTTCATAATTCTTTGGTGGTTGATATTTTATGTACTGGAGAAGTATGTGTAGACAATGGCAGCGTAGTTTCTGCTTCATAATGGTGAGTCCTTTGCAATTACTGGTGTTTTATATTTGCACTGGCTCTCTTATTAATCCCATCCCATTTCCTTTGATGGTCATCAGAAATAAACAGCATTTCTCTTTTCTTTCTTACCAGTCTCAGTTTTGCAGCCAAAATCTCAAATACTTACCTTACACACAGAAGCAACAGCAGAAGGCACAAATTCACTGAAGGGTCATATCACTGAAAGGTGTTTTATTTTATCACAGCATTTTGTTGACTTAATCATCCTGCTGTAGTTTCCATATTACTGCTAATATATAGTTGGTCTCTCACAGTTTATCATAAAGTTGTGTTAACTGCATTTCAGCATATGTTTTATGGGTGATAAGAGAAATTCATCCTATAGAATTGGGTACTGAAATGCATTTAAATCAAAGATGAAAGCAGTATGAGCTGAGTAATGATAGTTCATAGTGATCTATGTTTTTACTGACATCTACAAAAGTAACACTTTAATCCATATAAATTGCAAACGTCTTTCTTCTATGAAATCTTCATAGTGGGAAATTCCAGTATTTTAAATAGCTAAACTAGATACTGAAAAAAAACCTGGCAAAGTGTTTAAAGGATATTTTAGGACTAGTAAAGAGTGTCAATAGGCTGTTTATAAACCAGGATGCTGTCTGTGTTTAAACTTTGCCAAGCCCTCTAAGGAGAGAGGAGCCATCATGACATTCCTATTAATCATTCACAAGTTTTAAAAACTCTGTTGGTGTTACACAAAATATTTCAATTCTTAAGATATGCTTGTATAAAACATTAGTGATTTCTGATAACTTTCATTCATTATTTTACTAGGAAGGAGAATAAAAGCACAGCAGCAGCAACAGTATAGCAGCTAACAAAAGGGTTTTTAATCAACATCAAAACCTGTCACAGTGACAAAAGGTTCTCAAGGACAAATGGCTGGTTTTTTATGCCATATGTATTTGAATCTGCCTCAGTAGGTGAACACGGCAGCTATACTTACAAACACTATCTGACTATCTTCAAGAAATTAGATTTTTAAGATTTTGTTTAAAATACACCTGAGGTGTTCAACAGAGGCTCCTCTGGATCTAAGGAGTGATCTGCTTGAAGATTTCCACATAATAAGCCCTTCAGTGTTAAATCCAAGTCAGCTAAGCATTGCTGAATGGCACGGCCACAAACCAGTTCTGACCAAATTGATGCTTATCTACCAACCATTCTGTCAAGCCCAGCAGGGCATATTCACTAATTCAACAACTTGGATCGTTGGCAGTGAGTCTGAAAGCTTCACACGTTGTGAGAACTTAAACTGCTCAAGTTGTGGTACTGAGTTCCATGGCATTAACCAAAACTAGCACACTTTTGTCTGGGACACAGAGGAAATATAAGGGATGTCTAAACTACATTAAGAGTTGGAACCTTGACATACATTATCTCTGTTTAGAGATATTCTAATTTCATACTCATGTTTCAAGACACATGGGGTGAAAATCTAAAGGAACCTACCAAATTAGACTGATTTATCTATGCTGCTTCTGGCAGCTGTCACAAATTACCAGTCTAACAATGATAACTCTTAATATTCTTCTGTCAAATCATATATCTGTCATAGGTAAAAGTCCAGCAATAACTTATCATTTATTTTAGTTTAGGATCTGCACAGTAATTTTCCATTCCAGTATATTGAAACATACTCAAAACTTTATGTTCTTTTCTTTTGCTACTTTGATGCGAAGTTTAAAGCAATGCTGTCTAATAACTAATTTTTCTTATGAAACTGTTCCATCTGAGCAGCCAAAGGGTATTTTACAACTGGTATTAATCAAAATTAATTCAAAATCCCTTCAAAATCTGAACAGAATAGACTTCATGTTATTTTATAGCTGTCAAAGCTGAGCTGAGGTAGATGAATTACCAATGTAGATGCGGAGTTTTGAGCAACACCTCAAAGCTGCTTCTTTCATCCCTGGCCAAAGAATGACAACTTTTCAATGTGTTCTGGTAAACAGCGTGCAAATAACTCCCAAATACACTTATGTGTAAGCAGTTGTAGAAGCATTTGGAAATAGAAACTCAGAGTCAGAGCCCAGTCCTCTGGATCTTCATCCTATCTAATCCTTTGGCAGGATCTTATTTTAGGCAACTTCTTTCATGGTAATTCCAAATATATTTTTTAATGTAAGTGGATCTTGAAGAAAGTGAGGTTTCCTTTCTCACACCTGTCATGCTTCTTCACTCAAGCCTTTCTTCTTCATACATTCATTCGTCTTTAGGAAACATTTGCTCTAGATCTCAACTATTATTTCTTTGTTTGCTTTAGGTTTATTTCAAATTCTCTTTGCTGTGAGAAAGCTTAGAGGAGACATCCTAGATTTGAAAATCCCAAAGCAAATGTTGTCAGCACTTTGATTGCCAGTATGCAATGTTAGTGTCTCTCATAAATCAACAAACAGAAGAATAATGTAAACACTTTTGGGCTTCAAGCTAATATTATCAGAACAAAGTCTTTGTCAGCATCACTAAGAATTTCTATAGCACTATAAAGAGATAGTGTGCAATGTAAGGTAGTGGGTTGAGGAGAGTTTTGTTGGCCCTACTATATATACCTCTTCATCCCATAGAATTCAGAACCACCAGCTTTATTCCCTTCAGTCTGATCACTGTGACAGCCCAACAAAGAACAACATTCTTCCACTTTGTGAATATTTTGCATAATTGGGTCTTATCACAAAATTTCGGTATCTTCCCTTCAACAACACAAGCTGAGTAATTAATGGAAAAAGCTCAATGTGCCAACTTACATCAGAATCAGCTTCTCCAGTCAAACTAGCCCTGCATGCTGTCAGCAGAGCCCTTTTCCAGTCCTTTTGCTAGAGATTGAGTAGGAGTGAGTGACATTTATGAAGTTTCTCTGATCATGAGCACTCCCAATTGTGCTAATTTTCTGCCAACTGTGGCAGAAAAAGTCTTCCAGCAGTCTCTTGATTTTGTTGAACCTTTTCAGTCCTCTTCCATTTACCTGCAATGGAGAAGAGAAGCCAAAGACACACAGGGCAGTTCACTGCTGAATGTACTATAACACCTCCATATAATTCACTGATCTAGGTCACCTTCTAGATCTGGGCAAAATCCATAAGGATTCCTTCTTAATGATGCTTTCCTTCTTCATCCACCACCATCCTCTCTCTTACCAGCACAGCTTACTTCTGCATCAACTGCAAGATGTGTCCACTCTAGTGAGAAATTTTGTGTGACATTTTTCATCTGGCACACACTGGAAATTAGATGGACACAATTCAGTTTGTACAAACAATCTAACTGGGTCAGACACAATAACAGCCATCAGGTATATTACCACTAATGTAGTCCAACTGCTTTATCCTTTACAGTCATTTATTAATTGCTAATATTACTGCTTGTGTTGTAGGCTTCGGTCACTTGTGATCCACATCCATGAGATACACCAAAATGCAGAGCTGCAGATGACACGCTGTCACCTTTTTCTGAATTGAATGAAAGACTGCAATTTCTCAGAAGCAAATTAAATCCTCTGTGATTGCAGAAATAAGAATGTCTATTGCCATTGTGAATAGCAGTCAGGGTCACTTTGTAATCCTTCTATTTCTCATGAAACACACAGAGATGCATCAAAAATAGGTTCCCTGTAAAAGTAACAGTACCTCTGAGTAAATGAGAGATCCTTACAGCCCACTGAAGCAAACAGAATTCTGTGTTAGTTTTATCCACTAGAATAGCTGAATGAAAATGCTGCACTGTGTTGACCAGTAACATGTACCAAGGAAAGAAGTACGTTTTGATCGGTCGGTCTGATATTCTGTTTTATTATGTTTTGTTCTGTTGGTTGTTGGGTTTTTTTGCTTCAGCTGCATTGCAGCCATGCTGCTTTTCAAAACAGCCCATCAGTAACAACAAGATCTTGTTACAAAGTTTTCTCTAATCAATAAGGATCCTTGCTGTGAGAGCAGAAATCCAACAAAGAGCTGGGTAGCTGAAGGTCTAGTTGGTATTTCCATGTTCTAATTCAGTTGATGATCAGAGCTGAACCACAACAACACCTGAGAGAAAAAAAATCCTCAAAAATGTAGCTTAGACAGCAGTGCAGACAGGTTCCAGCAGTCAAGAGAATAGCCTAAAAAATCTCATATTCCTTATCTGCTATAGCTGTGAGCTTCCCACCAGAATCATGTTCCTTAAAGAGTGCATGCCCACGTCCTGTACTGCAGCTGTATGTTGCTTGGAGATTAGAAAGAGATGATGTGGTAAAACTGCTGTTCTTTTGCTCTGCTGATCCACATCCGGCACTTGGGCTTTTTTTGTTTTTTATTCTGGTATAACTTGTACCATTTATACAGATCCCATTTGTGTTTAGTTTCTTTTTCTTTTGTTTTTAAAGATGACCTGATATTCTACACAGATGTGGAATAAGTTTACTTTGGTGCCATATTTTATTTTACAGGTAATGGACTGTGCAATGCCTCTGATCGGTGAGCATCAGATCGAAGACAGGCAACATATAACTGAATTAGTTGTAAGCAAAATGAACCAAATGTTGTCCAAAACTCCTATACCATCTCCTCAGAGACCCACTGCCACTCAGCAGCCTCAGGTAGGAAATCTCTGTCTTTAAAATAAAGCAACTTTTTCTATAATGTTACACTCAACATTTTCCTTCAAGAATCTGGCTGGACAGCTATGCAGATGTACTCTCAGCTACAGCAATTCAAGAGCTTTTCAATATGTCTGTTGGATTTGTCATGATTGAGTGAGATGGATGGACGTAACTGAGTAGTGCAGGGTTTTTTTTACTGTTTTGTTGATATGATTCTACAAGTAAATTGTCAGCTCTGGATTCTGTGAATTACTGGGTTTTGTATTATTTTTTTTCAGCTTCATCTACATGAAATGTTATAGAAGTTTAAATATCACAACAGTCTTTGCCCTGAGGATATCAGTAAGAGTGCTAAGATAATTCTTGCTCATGTGCATTTCTGACCTTACTTATATGATCATCTTTTGATGTGCTACAATTCAGGAAAATGCCTCTCAAATCTAGGAAACTCCTGAAATACGCTTAGCATTCTATCAAACTAGTTTCAAAGATTGAAAAGGAACGATTTTCATCTATTGTATTTCATACAGTCTGATAATTAAAGCATGTTAACCACAGAATTCTGCCCTTTGCTTTGCTACCAGCTGTCCTTCAGACTTTGGTCATTATCCTCATTTCCATTTCTGTGCTTACAAATCCAAAGTCTCTTTTATTGACACTTCAGAAAATTTCTGTGGGTGTCATTAATTTGTACAAGGTTTTAAGAGCATAAAGAGGCCACCTAAGTGCTAAACAGCAGCTCTTATCAGTTCATAGGCTAGGCAGCAGGTCTAATCAAGAACAGCATTACTAGCTTCAACTTTCAGGTGCTTCTTTTAATATACTGAAGGAATAAACCATGACAATAAACTATTAAGGACTGCTGCTTGGTACCAGCGCAGCTCCATGCTGATCAGTTAATTAACAAAGTAATCCAAACTATATTACAGTAATTACCAAGCCAAAATCGAGAATCTATTTTTACTGCCAGTAGGCGCCATACCAGGTAAACAGTTTGAAAACAGTTTTGTGGCATACCTCAGACAGACGAGTTCTTGAGGTAGGGTGACTAATTTGTTCTTCAAATATATCATCATGCTTTAAGTTATAAAAATACACCATCCCACATAAAAAATTGGTGTGGCTTCTATTTATATTACAGCCACTCAAAGCTAAGCACAAATTGCTGAACCACACACAATGGAGACGTTTCCATCCAGCATGACTCACGTTTATTGTATAGAGCACCGAAAAAGAGGGACAATAAAGGCAGAAAATAAATCACCTCATACCAAATGCAGTTTTTTCTGAGACTGTAAAATTAGTCATACGTACAAATGAAGGAAAGTGTCAAACCCAGAGCTGCCCAAAGATTTATCAACACAAATCAAAATTTGTAGCAATAATGGACAGATTCACAGTGACTTCGATGCTTTAAATCACTAAACCTAAGGTCCTTTGTAAGCATGCTTCCCTGGATTTCAAAGAAGGCAATGATGGAAAAATGTTTGTGGTTACTGGTGTCATACAAAGAAATTGGTTACCTGTTGTATGTAAATACAGGTTTTTATAATTTCCACCTAAAACTGCCTACAGAGGACCAGATCTAGAATGAAAACAGGACAGGCAACATTTTTAGAAAGTTTCTAAATTCCTCAGTCATTTCTGTCACCCATCATGTCCATGAAAAGGAATTTTTTCCTGTTAAGCAAAGAAGCCTTAGATGAATCAAAAGATAGTATCAGCTGGTGAGCTGCTGAATGTCTACCGTGTTTCCACTGATAAGTCTAGGTTACTGAAGAACTCAGCCTTTACTAAAGGCAACAGAATGTGATTCAACATTAATCTTACCTGCCTTATCGTGTCCCTTACTTATAAATTACAGTTGACCAAAATCAGAGATACATCCCTTCAGAATGTTTGCAATATTATTTACATTTCTCAGTTAATCTGCTTCCTTAAAATTTTCCTTCTTACATTACTCACCAGCTTAGGTCAGACAAATGGGATCTAAATTCCTATAGAAGATGCCATTTGCAAACACCATTAATCTTCTCAGGGAGACAATCATGAGTATTCAAATCAGATACCTCCTTATGCGCAGTTCGTTATTAACTGGGTTGTTTTCCTAAGAATACAATTAGTCTGTTAAACCAAGCTGTCCTTTACTTCTTTGAACAGATTTCTTCCTTTCTAATCTCAGGCATTATTTTCTATCCTTGAACAATAAGGCCCATTCACCTGCAGAGAAAGGAGAGACAGTGCATATTCATGCAGTCCCTATAAAACTGAAGCCAGGAATTCATCCCAAATAAAGTATGTGCGTGTCAGTGCGTGGTCTTAGAGACTAAAGTAACACAAATACCAAAAAGTCAGATGAGTCGTTTACAGCCATAGAAGTGCCATATTTTGAATTCCCCTATTATCTACGTTTGGGTGTTTTTAATTATTTATGATGTATCTGTGGCATTGGGTTCATCATGCAAGAAAACAATGTTTCAGTTTACAAATGCCCTCCATGGTCAGTACTGTTCCAATTAACTAGTAATCCATCAGAAAACAGTGATTAGGAAAACAAGTCTTTGTTTAGAGCTATGCAGCCAAATCCTGATGGAAGTGATTGGCCTTGGAATATGTTTTGAAGGCCAGCAAAGTTCCCTCTGTCAGAGTGCCAGTAGTGAATTCCAAAAATAAGAACCTCAGACAACTCTGTTGCTCATGTTAAAAACTCAAAAGTGCAGATCCCGTGATTCTTAAACTTGTTTGAGATATCAACTTATTTACTAATTTGTTTATAAACCTTTCATAACAAGATACACTGAAAAGAAGAGGAATAATCAGTGAAGGTGAAAGCACCGGTGCACAGTTCTTTCTGTTGCTCCTCTCCCCCCTGTCTGTGCAGCCAACAAACTGTCGTGCTTTTGTGGTCTCAGCTTTCTGCATACCTTTGACAGCATGATCAAACCATACCAGGAAAGAGAGCATTTTGAGTTACAGGACTCAAAACTTACCAGTTTTGTTTTTATCAGTCACTTCACGAGTCTTCCCACTACAAAGAAAAGCAAGAATCCCTGGACAGCTTTATCTGCCTTATATAACTGTAAATTCAAACACGTACTTCATTTCTATTTATTTTTTAAAAATGACAGCTTGTTTTACATACAGCCATGATGAAAACGTTCAGTAGAAATATATCTAGGAATGTGATTTCTGTGGATTTTTTCCATGAAATGAACCAAAATCCAGGTGTTCTACTTGTAGGCAATAAATGGAAATCCAAATTTCCTCCTTTTGCAGCCTTTTCTAACTTTTGAAAACTCTTCTAAGAAGCCTCTCTCAAATCCTTCCTTAAAATACAAAACAGTACATAAAAGTACCCAGTGAAATGCTCCAGGTAGAGGAATCGCTTAACTCTGTCTCCATCTTTTGACAGGAAGGATCACTGCTGAAAGTTCTGCTGTGTGGATTTGCAAAACTACAGGCGGTTGCTCAGTAGAGGCTATTTTATGAGTGCTTCTGTAGCAACATTTATATATAAAGCAATATTAGTAAAACACATTCAAAGCTGCGTATCAAATCATGATACCTGTAGTGATTAAGCAAATTCTTTGTAAAATATTACATTATGCAATAATATTGCCATAACATTCAAATGATTACAGTGATATTAGCAGTTGAAAATAAGGAAAATCATATTAAGAAAATCTCAACAGCTCTGTTGAGATCACGCTGCATTATCAACCACAGAACAAGGAAGTTTATATCCCTAATGGAAGGAAGAGATGCATGCACCAGAGGCACAATATCCATAACCACATAAAATCTCAAAGAGCGGAGCATTCCCCAGTATCCTGGTTACTTTCTATTTAAGAGAAAGAAGTAGCACACCAGCAAAATGTAAATAAATAATGCAGAAGTGGAGGATGGTGCTTTAATTGTTTTGAGACCAGAACAGCAGAACTTGGCGTATTTCCTTTCATAACATTCTATTTTAAAACATTTTCATACTTTCTTTACTTTCTACCCAGAGGGAAGTTCAGTGCAATTACTTTAAGTTCATTACAGCATCAATGAGCTCCTCCTCACCCCTCTTCTGCTACACAGACATATGGTTGATTTTTTCTAATTTTTGTCTTTATCTTATTTGTTCTTCACTCCCTGCGCCCCCATGTGATTTGACTGCAGCCAAACAGTTCTCTCCTGTTTATTTTACTACACTGAGAGAGCAAATTGAACCAAATGTGAACACAGAGTGGATAAAAAGTATTAGCTCCAGAGAGAAAAGCAAACTTATCAAGTTATCTATTCTTGTGCTTCCATAATAGTGGCTACAGTTCTACTCCATTCCATCTGTTGTATTTGCTATTTCTTTATTTCAAAGCAAACTCCTTGTGATGAGCAGCATTTTTTTTAACCACTGAAGCTTTTATGCGAGGTAGACAATAGGGTTACTTGATTTGATCTTAACTGAAGGGAATACACGCGACTGGGAAGGATCCCTGTAATCCATCATGGAGTTTTATGGAAATCTATTAGTCAGTATTCATCTGCTTGTTACGAAAAGTAAATTTTTCTGCGCTGAAGTCCAGGCATGGATCTCATTTCTGAATGATGCTCTGCTTTGCAGTCTCACAGAAGTTCACCTGCAGTGTAACAGTTGATTAGTTGAAGAGCATCTGGGCCAAGATTAGGGCTGCTAGAGCTTTGTGTCATCCATCAGCTGCTAATGCTAAACCTACTCACATTAGCCAGGCTATCTTCATACCACCAATCAGCACCACCTCCAAGAACTTGCTGTCACAGTCCCTCTCCACTTATTGCAATACTCTTTTCATAAACATTTGGGAAAGGAAAGACTGCCTTCTATATGAATGAGGGTAAACATAGAGTTTGAGTACTAATACATGAAAATCCTACTGAATTGATGCAAAGCAAATCATTCCCTGTTGTAATTAAATCTACAATAACAGACAGCAAGAGTAATTTATGAACTGCTTGCCTTAAGCATGTCACTAAATTAGCTGATGAACCCTAAAACTATATGTGCTGTATTTCTTTGGTAGACATTTAATTAGGAGATAAATGGCAGCCATATCATCTGTTCATAAAGAGACACACATGGATTTGTGGAGTAGTATCCGAAAGAAATTCAGATCGTAAACATACTCAAGAGATTAGCCTGACTTTCTCCTTGCTTATGGCAAGGCAGCACGGAGATTCCATGCTATTACTATATGCCTCTTCAATTATTTGTATCTCCAAACCATGACATCACTGACTCTGTATGAACAAAGCAGTTTACCTAGCCATTAAACAGAGAGCATATCTGTGCAGCTGGTAACTGAGTATCTTCTGTGGTCTACATTAGTGTACAATGAGCTCTTTTTATGGTGTGTGGGTACCTCAGAAAGTTTCTTTACACTTTGACAGCCATCAGTGACTACTAACGAAATCCTATTACTTATTCTGTACTACTTGTTCTCTGCATCTGCCTAGAAGTCCTTTTAAACCATAGTTCCTAGGAAGCAAACTGCTTGTTACGTTAAGATGTTTATAGACTTATTGTTGTGACTCAGTGGAAAAGCAGTCAGGCAGCAGCAAGATGCCCAAATAGTCAGAAAATCTAAGACTACTATCGAGACTCATTAAGAATATTGCTGAGCCATTTATCCACAATAAGAACGCTAAAAAATACGTTTAAGGTCATGTAAGTCATAAAGGCATTCTTTCAATTGTAAAGTAAACAATGTTTGCAAGTTCTCTGTTAAGCTGCTGGTTCGCTCTGCTCACTGCGCTGCGTTCTGCTTCCTTGAGTCCCAGCGACACCTCGTGGCCTCGTCTTTGTGGCAGCTGATGTCCTGACTGCCTCCAGCACGGCAGAGCACTGCAGCACACCGCAGGAGCTGCACCGCCCTGAGCAACAAGTTGGGTACATTTTACCCACGCGAAATGCTCTCTCTCCTGCAATTTCTGATACCTCTATTATCATGCATTTACACCATTTAATTTCAGTGGTTACTTAGTATGTACATATATCTAATTGTATATATATATATGTGCAATATTCAGCTTTGTGTATTTGAACAAGAGAAGATTATTTTAATCAAAGGGGCTTTTTTAACATTTAGTTATTTTACCTTTGTGAAAATACAAGAAAAGCAGTTGTTATGATTTCAGATCCTAATGATTTTAGATCCTAATGCATGGGATTAAGAAAAACAGAAGAAAATAGAATTGTAATGGACTTAACAAGAGCTGAGTGCTTCTTGTTAATAGGCATGAGGAAGGCACACTTCATTCATACCTATGTTTACAACAGCCAGGTTTAAATATCACACATAAATAATGACAGCATATATTTTATTACACCAATTTTGTCCATCTTTCATTATGACATCTATTCAAGGCAGATCCTTTGTTCTTTACAGAAGTGATAGGGATCGCAACAGACTGAACTGATGGATTAAGGGTACTTTATAAGAGTTCTGACTGAGTTTTTGAAAACACTGTTTCATTTATGGTTTGATTTAAGCTTGACATTCAGAGAGCGAGATACTAAAAGTGAAGGTCATGCAGGAAAATACATCTGAGCCTCTGTGACAGCAGTAGGACACAATGCACAGATACTGAACAGAGATTTCATTGAAAAATACTGTAAAGTTTAAAATAACCTATTTAAAAATGTTTATTAAGATCCTGTACCAGTAGATGGAGTAATCACTACAGAGGTAAGTACGTATTGCTCAGTTCTTCTAGTAGTGATGTCTACACGGTTGGTTTTGGTGGCTAGCTGGAAATGTATCAATTAAATGAAGATGATTAAATCAAAATACCAGTAAGTGCTCATCTTTCCTAGCTTGTTTTGAATTAGTGTGCCACAACTAAACAAGCGTGCCTTTATAATGTGCTTTTTAAAGGGATACTTCAGTAATAAAAGACCCTAGAAGGCACATATTAGAAGGTTAGGATTATTTGGTTACAATTTTTACTGAAATCAATAGAAATTAGTGAAAACAGAAGTTTTCAGGATGTTGCCTTGGTTTGGTGGATTGTGTTTTTGTTTGTTTGTCTCTAGATTTTGTGAGTGTTTTTTTAATGAGTATTATTATTATTGCTTTTCGTTCTGACTGTACTGAATGTTTGTTGTCAGTGGAGTGTCTGGGAAGAATACATGCATGATCTCCCTGCAGATAAGCTGAGTAAAGCTTGATAACAGAAAGAGCTCCCAAAATATTTCATAGAAGAGAAAAAACTGCTTATGTCACCCATAAGCAGTGTGACAGACTCCAGCATCAGGACCGCGATGATCAGAATAACTTATTGTTTGTAGGACAGGTAAGTAAGGCAACAGCCTTACTGCTAGTAATTTTTATAATACATAAAGCAACAAAATGCTAGATAAAACTGGGAAAAGAAAAAAAACCCAACACATATTAGAAGTACTGCTAATTAATAACTTTTAAAAACATATTAATAATGACTTTGGTCAAAACTGAACAACAAAATAATGCTTTTCTTAACTTTCTGACCGTCTGTCTTCCAATCTGCCCATTATGTTGACAGAAGCAGACAATGTCTTCAAGAATTCTGAGACTCCATGGTGACTCACCTCAAGAACAAAGAAAATGTACTTAATTCTTAAGTAATCAAGAGCATTCCGATGTAGAGTATATGTTCTCAGTAGATTCTTCTGAGAAACAGCTTCCATTTCTCACATTTTTGGGAGTCTTCAAGAAGATGTCTTCAATCTGTTATGTAGCAAAACTCAGTCTTTCAAAATTAAAACGAGGAATGATCCTATCACTATGGAACACGCAAGTGTTGCCACATAAACAGATACAAACATAGAGTCTAAGTTAGATCTCTTTGTTTGGTCTTAGTGCTATAATTACAATCATATAAAAACCTCTATGTTTTTTCTATTTCGTCATATTTTTCATCTATTTCTACTGATTCTACTGATTTTGCTTATTTAAGCTGAACCTAATAGAATCATCTTTTCTTGGAGGTTTTTCCTTCGCCTCCTTTCCTTTCCCCACTGTGCTGGGTGTTTCCCTTCTACTTTTGTGTTATCATTCTCTGTCGGCACTTGACTTTTTAAATTTGATTTCTCTGAATTCTAAGTCATAACCTGTTAGGCAAAGCCATCTGGCTTTATTCCACATTTAACTTACAAGGATTCTATCTATCTACCCAGTAGTCATCACCATAGTTTATTGTGAATAAGGACCACATGCTAAATAAGCATTACAGGTTTTGAACATGGGTAATAACTACCAAGAGAAATTACAGAACAATCCAAAACAGTGCAACTCATTTTCAGATATTCTTGAATGATCAGTTGGGAAAAAACAAGCAACCTCTCTGTTCCTCCACCACTCGTCTAGTGGTGGATCAGTGCTTCATCTGCCTAGCTGCCAGTAGTTCAAGCTTCTTTTCACCTGTTCAAAGATTGTTCTCCAGTATCTCCTAACTTGTAAGAGACTCAAGAAGGTTCTCAGATTCCAACAAGTCACCAGCAGTGCCCACATGTGGCTCTGTGCTTGTGCTGTATCAGACAAAGCAAGGAAAGAAGCCCACACAACACTGGCAGACAGGTCTTACGTTCTGTTTGAGTTCTGAACTTCAGTCTTCTTTGGGGTATGGCTCTTAGCTCACTGACTTGTCCTTTCCCAAGCCTTTTCCTGCTCCACCATTCTGTAACACTGATACAACAATATTCTGACAAACTACTCATTTTAAGACCAGACGTGAGTTAGCTCCATCTTTTTTCAGACCTTCTGTTTCAAAGCACAGATTTCAATTCTGAATGGATCCAGTAATGATGGATCACTGTGACTCCAGGTTTTTACTCTTCCTGTCCATGAAAGGATCACTTGTCATCTCATATTAAGAAGACCAGAGGAGCTGATACAGCATAGCATCAGACAACATCCCTGGGTCCCGAGCTTAGAACATTCCTTACAGTTTCAAATAAGAGCACAGGATATTGACACTAACAAGCTCTAAGCTACAGGTATCTATGTACACTGAGAAACATTTAAGGAAGATTAACTTTCCAGTAACTAGATAGTCTTCTAGATATGCTGTACCACTTTCATCTTCCTGTCCATCTATCTTACAGCTCTCTTTCTGTGGTATAAATATGCACACTCATTACATTTCAGTTCCAGCTGCTTTAGCACACAGGGAGCTCTCTCCTATCACATAGTCCACATTCCTTCTTTGTCTGTGGGGAGCAATTTTTTACTGGGAAGAACTGCCTGACAGCTGCTTTGCAACAGCATACTTTTAATGATCCCTTTTAGAAAACTGAAGTTGAAATCTGGCTTCATTAAGCAATAGTTGCAATAAAATCAGATTGCATCCTTGTCCATTAGAATTACCATCTGTCTCTGGAATGGGACCAGTTAACTTCAACAAGTGTTGCTACTTGTTAAGAAACACTTTTTTTCTGACAAGTCGACATCCTACATTTTGTATAGAAATGTCATGTTTTGTGGTAGTGAGATATTTCTTTTTTTCAGCAAAATAATAGAAAATAGATCTGGCATAGGCAATGTGATGTCACCTGTTTCATTGTCTAAGAGAAAATATTGAAGTGTGCCATTAAATAGCAGTGAATCTACACTAGGATATTCTTTCTTCAGAGTATGTGTAAAAATACTCAGGAAGAAAACTCTTCTCTAGGAAGAAATTAGTTATCTAACAATAGAAAGTACTTTGTATACAAAACATAAGCTATAGTACTTTTTGATGTTTAAAACCAAAACTTTTTCAGTGCATGATGTAAATACTGTTCCAAGTAAAAATTAAGCTGCATAGCTTGTTTTCTCCTCTTAGCAGTCATTTCCTTTCTCGTTCAGAGGAAGATCTTACAGGTCTTTCATTGATAATTCGGAAAGCTGGCTGAGCAACAACAAAAGCTGGTCTAAAGTTTTTAATTCTGTATCACAACTTCAAAATGAAGATGTTTTGTGCTGGCATCAGTTTTGCTGAGAATATGTTTGGGGCAAGCTGAACACTGAAACTCCAAACAACTGTAAAATGTGGGAGTGGGTTCTCCTTTCACTGGCCTCTTTGCACGAGGTGGTGAAAGTGGCTCCTTTCTGAGGTGTGCCTGACCACGCCTGTCTTACCATTAGAATCAGGCCTATTTCACTGCCTGTCTCAGTCCACAATGAATAGCAAAAAGCTTTGTTGTCATGTTAAGCTCCAAGGAAGCATTTATGAGTCACTTACACCACGTTCATCCTGTAGAGAGTAAGGTCTGTTCTAGCAACTGGTGAGTACCCTTACCATACACTGCACACTGAAGGTAGAAAACAGCAACAAGGTGCTAAGGAGTCTCTTATTTTTTGATTCTCCATTTCACAAAGTCAATTCAAGATCTCAGTGTTTTGCTAAATAATACAGTAGGTGCTTATTTACAACCCAGTTTTATTCAGCTAATGCCTGTTTCTTCTTGGTTCACATTGTCCTTTAGTGCAGCTTGTTCCCTATCTAGTGCTTTGCCATTACAGTGCTGTAAAAAGAACTGTACTGCCTTCAAGCCTCTTTGGCTGAATTAAGCCAGCTGAGTTCTTCCAAATGCTCTAGCTATGCACTCTTCCATCTGCCTGCTCAGTTTAACAGTGCCTTTCTACATCTGATGAGCTTATATTCATCTTTCTTTACCAGGGGTGATGTTCTTCCATTGTAAGGACTAAGTAAGTATTTGTATCTAGGAGACTTTTAATGCAATCATTTTCTATTGATATCCTACTTAAATAATCTAAATTACCCCTCTGCTTTGCAATCACATTTCTTCCTTTATGCAATCAATCTCAGATTGTACTTCGGCAATTCTCAATTGATCCTACTATTTCTTGATCTGAAAAATATGGCTTTCTTTTCAAATATTGAAATACCTATGAGAAGCTTCTATCATTGCATTACAAAGAAAACCAAATGAAACCCAAAAACAACAATGCATGCTCCAACTTTGGTTCACAAAAGCTTCAAACACAGCCAAATCAATATCAGTTTTAGCTGGGACTCAGTTTAAGATCTCTCTTGCCTAGGGGCTATTTTACTGCCAAGTTGCTGCTTTTGCTTCCACCCTTTCAGCATTCTTCTGATTATTCAAAATTCAAATATATATGAGTCTAATCTGCATTTACATAAACAGATAGAAAAATAAGTAGCATGACTGATCAAACTGTAATACAGCATGCTTAAAGAACACTGTTCTACTCCAGTTTTACCTAAAGAATTCTAAGCATATTGCTTCAGGTGAGTATGGAAAAGAAGAAGGGCTACAGAGACATCTATGGGCACTTATATTTTACACAAGTAGCTGGGTTTCTGCTCTGGCTGTAATGAACTTAGCCAATATTCTAAAGACCATTATGCAGCCAAAGCACTGATTTTTATACTCAGATCTGGGAAGTCACTATCGCATTCCTAAAGTATTCGTGGGACTTTCTGCTTCCACAAGTAGAGTTATAATTTTTGTAATAGTTATGTAAACAATAAAGGAGAGATTTTGTAACCATAGCCAGAGAATGTTACTATCAATATCAGCAATCCTCTCTTTTGGGAATTTCGATGTGATATAAAAGCTGCATTCCTGAAATGAAAGCAACAAGGGCTTCTTCCACAGCATTTACCACACCTCACTTAGTGTAAACCATTCAGCATGGTTTAAAATTCCATACTGAATGCTGTCATTTCCCATTCTCTGCACTAGTAATTGCCATACAGTATGGTACTACTAACTGGCAAGCCTTGAGCATACAAATAAGAATCTGTTCAGGGCCATTTTCCATTATATAGTCCACATTCTAATCCTTCATTCTTGCAGTGTTTGAATTAAGCAGTCAGCAAGTTTGTAGATGAGAACTGCAGTGCATGAAAACATGTTTGTACTGAAAGAAACTGGTAGGAGGGTGATCTTCTAGGCTGGGCAACAAAGGAAATAAAAGAAAAAAAGAACAGGAGGGGTGAAAACATCTGCAGGACAGGTCTAGTCCAGCATCGCTGTTCAGAGAGGCTGTGCCGCGTACATGGAGTTAGCAGCTCTTACAATTACATTGGCACACCATGCTGGAGAGGTGAGGAGTAACAGACTGCAGTCAATTTGCCAACAAGTGGTGTTTTAGAAGAAGCCTGGATTTTATTAAAGACCTTGGCTCAGGGCAGCAAACAAGAGTGGTTCAAAGCCTGTGTTTAATATCGAGTATCAAGGCTTCTGACTGTCTCGGGGAGAAAGAAAAAAAAAACAACCCAAAAAAAACCCTCTTGAAAAAGACTGGATTACTACAGACCATTGAAAAACCATGAGTAAGATTTCTCAAATAGGAATGTAGTGCTAATTAGTCTTTTTGGGTCAGCCTGGGTGGGTTGGCTAATTAGCAAAGTAATATACCCGTGTGATTGGCCTGGAGTGTGGGTGAGGTTCCTGGAAGCACCAGGTGATATCTGGTGAAAAAAGGATGTGTGGGTGGTAAAATCAAGACAGCTGCAGTCAATGACTGGAGTGGGGAAAATACATCTCCAACAGAAAATGCACAAAGGCTTTAAACTTCCAGAACAGTTGAGGTGAGGATTTGCAAGCTTCTATAAGGTTTATTGAAAGCCTAATTTAGGATAAAATAATTTCTTGGTGAGATAGAAAGATATGTGGATTGCATAAGTACTGATGTTGTCAAGTCAGTTAAATAGCGTGTGCAATAAAACCTGAGACCATTTCAGTGCAAGAACAAATGGCAGACTTGCTTCAGCCTCAAGGCACAGAGGAAACGGGGGCCCTACAGATGTTGTTTTAATATTTAAGTGGTGTGAATTTAAAGCGTCAGCTTATTTTCAGTTTCTAAATAAAATATGAGTTTTCCCTATGTAATCTTTCAGTAGAAAAACAGCAACGTGCACATTCTCTTTGGTCCTTGTCCCCGCACAGAGCTCCTCAGTATTTGATGGCCTTTCGCAGGACCAGTAAGTCTATCACATGCTAAGAGTAGTAATATTCTTTACGAGACGCTATGCGTGCTTTTTAACTAAGTCATGTGGTCAGCTCAGTCCCCAAAAAGCTTCTGAACGTCCTGGAAGCCAAGTACTCCCACTTTGCCTTTAAGGGCACACTCCACGTGTCGTACTTCAACACCAAAGGAAACAGAAGCTCTCTGTAATGCAGAACGCCCAAATGCCCTGCGGGTGTGTAGAGGAAGGTGCCAGGTGCATCAGAACAATGGCAGTAGAATATGAAAGGAGTTAGCTCCTCTAGGGCAGCTTTTCAAGGTTTCCATTCTCTGTGCTAATTTGCTCAGTATCCAAGGGGTTACTGATGTATATATATTTTTTTTTCAGCAAGATCCTGTGATGAAAATTATATAAAGTGGATACCACAAATGCTTACTGCGTCATTGAAACAGGAATAGGATAGAAATTCAACTTTATCGTGTGGTTCAAAAGTCTAGAAGAAAAAGAGAAATAAAACAGGGAAGACTTTAAGTCACACGAAAGCATTTTAAAATTATCTGGTGGCACTGTATCCTCATCCCTACAGCGATGTTCACTGAGAGCCGTGCATGGATCAGTATGGATCCGTTAACACGGGATCAGATTTTGCCTCATTCCTTTTGTGTGAGTCATTTTTACACCTCAGTTGGTCTTCTGAAGGTTGGTAACTCACAAAACTTGGTTTTGGACCTCATGTCCTTTCATTTATGCAGCTAAAGCAGGCAAAGCAATTTGGAACAGCTGCACACAATAGAGTGTCAATGTGGCATTTAGAAAGCACAATTTCTAGATTGCTGTGCTGGAATTTGGATCGTTTGAGTAACATTTATTTCTGCAGTTCTGAGATCACATACAAAACTATCAGAAAAAAAATAAGTTTGGCAAAAACTGTTATATTAATTTTACATTTACTATTGAATATATCCTGGGTTTTTCCTCGTAATAGATGGCAGTTTAGTTTCTGAATCCTAAGCCCCCCCCCTCCCTCCCCCCCAAAAAAAAAACAACCACCCCAACCAAGATATTGTGTCCAATTTTTTGACATACTTCATTTTTTTAAATATAAGAAATGAGTCCAAGACGAAGCTTCGATTCAAGTGCTAACATTCCCAAAGGGTTTTCTGCTCCAAGATTTTGGTTCAGGCCCACTTTTCCTCTGAACAAGTATAGATTCAAAAATGATACTGCTGAATAAATCCACCCTTTTGAAAATGTAAGTATTATTACATGTATTTCTAATAACATGTCAGATGGAGTAACATGAAGTAATTTTAATTATTTTCATTATTTGTCTGTGGTTTTTGCTTCCTTCTTTCATTTTGCTTAGCAAACTAGTTAGCCTACAGTAGCACATCTCTCTTCCCATTTACAGTCAGAGAATCAAAGTGAAATTACCACTGCTGTGCTACTGCTTCCAGAAAAAAATGTTATAAAAATACATTATTTCTTGAATCACACAAAGGTATCTGTTGAAGTTCTATTCACTGTACTCTAAAAAAGACTGCAGAGTGATGAGATACAGAAAAGTGGTTCAAGGTGCTGGGAACTGAAGAAGGAAGAGCGTACGCAAATAGCGGTAAGGTCTGAGAAGGCGCTAGGGGCACCTGGCTGCAAGGGGAAACTGATCACATGCTGCAAGGGGAAAACAAGTTGTTGTTTGATTCTGTGTTTTTTTAACTCAGTTTTGGATTAGTCTAGGATTTCTCCGTCATGGCAAGCACCAAATAAAGTTGAGAACGTTTTCTAGAATAAATTAAAATTGTATGTTCAGTCCCCAGCCAATAAAGAGATGAAAGTAAAGGCAAATTAGTGGAAAACTGGAACTAAACTGCTCTAATCTTCTCCTCTTCTGTTTTCAAATATGTTTTCCAGAGTGGATCATTAAAGGAGCCAGAGCCAAACAAAATCCCACCTCAGCGACCACCACCTCAAGGTTGTTTACAGTACATTCTCGACTGTAATGGCGTTGCAGTAGGACCAAAACAAGTCCAGGCTACTTAGATAACCGAGACTAAAAGCAAGAGCTAAAACAAAAATGAAAGTTAAAAAAAAAGAAACAAAAACACAATCTTTAAAGCAAACATACCAGTTTTGTTCAATTTTGCATTGTTCAGTGCTGACCTGGACTGTGTTTTTTCTATGCAGTGTCAACTATACCGTCTGGTTGTTTACTTGTTCATGTCTGTGCGTGTAACGCTTACCTACCTTTCTCTGTAAAACTTGTGATTTCAGGGCTGTTGTCAACAGTGTACAAAGAATGTGCCTCTTTAGAGCCCAGTGCAACTGTATGGATGGTTAGACAGTATTTCTTAAGTATTATATATCTGTCAGTGAAATACCACCGAGGTTCAAATCTAACTACTTTGCTTACTCTGTGAGTGTGCACACTATGCTCATCGCCTTTGTGTGTGCGTGCGTGTGCGTGTGTGCATGACTAATAGGTAGGTGATCCAGAAGTATTTTTTACAGCCTAGGTTAGAATTTGCTAGTGAGGCTTTTTATTTATGATTTTATAAAGTTTGTTAACATTTGAGTTTTACTTATATGCAAGCGGAAGTCTAATATTTCAGAGACTCGATAAGCGCGATACAGTTCTTCCCAAGGAATATTTAAAATATCTTCTATTTTACATACTGGTATTCATATTTTTAGTAATTCTGCATTAAATTATTAGCTACAAAGCTATGTAAATGGGCCACCTATGTGCAAT